GCATACTGTGGTGGCACCATGCTCGCTTGAAGGCCTTGCGTACTGTGGTGGCACCATGCTCGCTTGAAGGCTTTGCATACTGTGGTGGCACCATGCTCACTTGAAGGCTTTGCATACTGTGGTGGCACCATGTTCGCTTGAAGGCCTTGCATACTGTGGTGGCACCATGCTCGCTTGAAGGCCTTGCATTCTGTGGTGGCACCATGCTCACCTGAAGGCCTTGCATACTGTGGTGGCACCATGCTCACTTGAAGGCCTTGCGTACTGTGGTGCCACCATGCTCACTTGAAGGCATTCCGTACTGTGGTGGCACCATGCTCGCTTGAAGGCATTCCGTACTGTGGTGGCACCATGCCCGCTTGAATGCCTTGCGTATTGTGGTGGCACCATGCTCACTTGAAGGCCTCGCATACATACTAAATTATTCTTTCACAACAAGGGCATTTTCAAGTTGCCAAAATGACGGTCCCTAAAGTTGAACGGACACAACATGTGCACATGGTGCCACTGCAATAATGGTATATCCTTGGAATAGTCTTCACTGACAACCACGTGAGCAGCACATTTACATCAAAGAAGTTTATTTACATCCCTGTTCTTATGCAAAAGTAAAGCTTCACTGAACACTGCCTGAGCAGAGAGAATACTTCCAAATAATCATCACTAAAATACGGAAAGAAGAGATGCAACCAGAGCTGTATATAGAGAAAGCTGCACTGCTTCAAATTTTGGAAACGAAATGGCTGTTCACGATGTGTACATGTATATTAGAGCGTGAAGCCATCGTATAATGTACATGTACTAATTGTCCATGTGCACTGGCATGTACATCTGCCAGTTTGTTTCCAACAATGGTGACACTCATGTCGCAACTGTGTACACAGCTCTACCAGTTCGGAAGATGCTCCGCCAGTCTCAAGTTATTATTTGAAGAGACTTTTCCTAGAATGTCTATCATTCATGTTATGAGCCAACAACAGAGGGGATATTGGAAAGCCGCTGGCAAACAAGCAAAACTGTCAAACCTAAATGAGCAACTTTGAAGACGGGATATCTCCTACATGTAGCTGTCTTCCAGGAATTTAGCTTGAAAGTACATGTACTTGTATTACTCTCTTTAGCCACTGCCTTGCTCGACTCTATTAAAAAGCTTCTGTAAAATAGACCTTTCTTTAGCTCTCCAGTACTGCCGCCTTCGTTTACTGGTGATGTACACATAATGAGGTAAAATGAGACTGACTCTATCTCCAGGACTTTGATTTATTGCCTCAATTACTGTCACGTAGAAACACATGCTCTGTTGACACTATTAGTTAGCAGGGATACAACTTCCTGTGAATGACTGCAGGCCAATCACTCATGCAGCACTCCTGTCACAGATTTTTATCAACGTAGCATTTGCAACTGAGTGACCATGATCAAAGCCACTTCCAAGTTGCAAACTTGTGTCACTGACTGGAGGAATTGTGCAGGCGAAAGGGACTGGTTCCTCTGCAACATGAAACTCCGACAGGAATAGCATAGCATCATCAACGATAGAGTGGATGGCCTTTCAAAGAAATAATATAAACTGAATTATTTCAAGAGCAACAGCTTTATCCAAGTTTAGTTTGCGAATACTCTAAAAAAAAACCTACTGGTTGATTGATTGGTTGTGGAACAATGTTTGTGACTTTATTACTAAATGCGACAATTCTAGGGTTCATCGTGAACATTTCTACAGCCCTGCCTAGCAAGTCTTCAACTCTCTAATCTTCTAATCTATCAACAGTCTTCACAGCTCTCTGCACCTGCTTCATTGCTTGTAGCAGACTACTGATCATTACCGGAAACATTCTCTCCACAGTGGTCACCCATCAAGTGCCAGACATTGCAGACAGCACCAAGATCCTGATGTCATCACTCACTGTCTACAACCTCTTGCTTGGGTTCATAAAGATGGCCTTCTTCCCCAGTTCCTCAGCACTGGACCAATGGCCCAGTGCATGACCGATCTCCTATGCCAGATTGTCTCAGGCCTGTTATTAACCATTTTGTGCATGTCGACAAGGTCACTTGTTTTTAAATATTGAGCGGTGCATTGCTGTCACTCGACAGTACCACTTTCCCTTGTGGTGTACTCGGCATCGTGTTATCATCCTGATTACTGTAACATCAACGGCCTTCTCAACATTGGGCATTGTTGCATCACTCCTTCTCGATACCCCATGTAGATATTTACCTGCCCTGGCCCTTTGCTTTTACATCGGCTATAAGGAATACCTTAGCTCTCCTGTTGTTGCTCATTGTACCAGTGTTCCTCATGTGTACTCTTTACTACCGCATTATCAAAATCAGCGGACAGCATCAACGCCGACAGATAAACAATCATCGACCCGGTAATGTCAACAATTACTGCAACAATAAAGCTCTGAAAACATTTCCAGTTGTCACCTTGACTTTCACCAGCTGTTTTACGCCGGTTCTGCTCATGAGAATGGTTGATAGTTACACAACGGAGCAGAGATTCCAACCTGGCTCCAGTACATAAGCTTCTGGCTCTTGATATGCAACAGTGCCTTCAATGTCTTCATTTACTGCCTCTTCAATCGGTCTTATCGTCAGACGGCTAAAAACATAATTACCAAGCAGCTTCCCTGTTGTAACCACTCAGTTGCACCAGTTGACATTCAACTGCATACTGTAAATCAAGGCACATGACGAGTCTGAATGAAACAGGAATGGCGGGCAAACGCTGACAGACATAACTTCATGTAACTTGAACTTGCAACATTAACATGCTTGCTGTGTTTACAATTTCATGTCAGTGTTTCTTAGTGGTTCTGAAATCACATATTTTCTCTGTGAGCATATGATTTCATTTGGATGAAAATGTCTTGAACTTATATCAGACCTTCAAAGAAGCTAAAAAGGCACAAATCACAGCCTGATAATATCATGCTCAGGCACACAGACATGTTTGCCATTTTCTCTCGGTTTACTGAAAGGTAAAACAACTTGAAATAAACAGTACTGCCTGCATATTGCCATGGGTAGGGAGAGGACGGTACCCCGTCAAGAGCAAGGAAGGGCTAAACAGCAGGGATTGCTAAAATAGCAATGCTTTAAAAAAGAAATGATAGGAAAGGGGTATGCGGTAAACAATAGCAGGACCTCTGAAGTAGTCAGTAGAAATGCTTCCGGTTTGGCACAACGCATGACTATGCAAGTAAAATCTACTAAAAATTAATGATATTGGATCTTAATGGAAATCAACTCATAAAAACTGGCTTTGTTCACAAGGCAGTGTCATACAATCCCAAGTACTGCATTTCCAGTGTTGCTTCCGTCTAGAAAGTCAGTCTCACACAATACTTCTCCTTTTAATTGACTAATCTGATTAGATGCTACAACTGCAGTTGCACCGCACTCACACACACACATTCCTCATTGAATCACACAGCTCATGGAAAGCTCACTTCCACGAGCTGCCAATGAGCGTTATGCCACCACAGTAATGGCCTCTAAGCCTGGTTGTAAAATTACACAAAACACTGGCTGACTTTCAGCATGACTTGGATGATAAACCTTCAAAACTTCAAACTGCACCGTCTGTTGTTAATACACCTACCAAACAGTCTTCTGGCTATTTCCCATCAACAACTGATTCACCTCATGGCCTGATGTTGCATTTCCCTTGGGTCAGAGCGTCTATTTCAACGGGCTGATTGCATGAAAATGACAAAAACCAGAAAAACATGGAAAGAAGAACTGAAAAAATATCTGTTATGCTGAGCTAGAGCCTCAATGACATGATTTCAAACTCAAAAAGAAAAAACAATTTTTACCAAATGTACATTGTAAATATTGCACTGTTAACACACCAGCAATGCTTTGATTCCAATCTGTACTTCCTTCAAGGCCAAAATGTTTTTATTAATTGGATTTTGAACCTACTGACTCCAAATAATAAAATTTTAGAAAAAAAAAGATTTTTTTTTTCCAGAACCAGGATTTTTAGTGTTTTGCAAAAGAAAAGGCGTTGTATTTTTTCCTGATGCAGTGTTTTCAATCAGCTGAAACAAAATTTATTTTATTTTCTTAATACACCCAAAAGCACTAAGAAAACTGACCGATAGTTCTATTTTTTTCCCCAGCCTCTGCTCCTGCAAAATTTCATGCCATGTTCGTAATTCAATAAATGAAAAGATGCTGGCCTAATAAGTAAAAAGAATGCCCAATTCTTGCCTGCCACGTTTTATTATTATTATTTATTTAGTATCAAGAACAATCACAAACAATACTACTCCTTAATTAAGACAAGAACAAAACAGTGCCTGCAGTAGATGCCAGGAGAAGAAAAAGTCAATTGAAGGACTATTGCCCACAGGCCTTCTCCTCCAATACTACAGGCATAACAGTCCCAACAAAAGAGGGCACTCTCACTTGGAAACATCAATTTTCACACTGACCTCTAGTTTTCGTAGTCGCACGGTGCATTCTTTCATTCTGTCATCCTTGCCTTTGTCAGCCGTCCCCGTTGAAGACGGCAATCTCGGTAGATACTGCTCCAGTGTCGGGATGCGTCGGACGAGTTGGCACTCAGAATCTGGACGCAACTAGGGGTGAGAAACAAAGGCACACCCGATTGACATTCAAAATGATATGTTCGGATGTAGCAATTAGGGAAGGGGAAGGTGGCATGTCTAACTGCATGAGTGAATCAAGTCCATCCCTTGAGGCTGTGGTGGATTCTTTCTGGCAAGAGTTGCTTCCCTTCAAAGAGGGGAAAAGAAGTTTTGTGCTTGTGAGGGTAGAAATATTTGCTGTACTGTGTGAATTAGTAGTTGGCTCCAGATATAAATGTGACAGTGTTGAGATGCATACTACAGGGCAAGCTGAGATGGTCTAGAGAATGGTTTATGAGCCTGATCAGTTGAAGAAATCTAGATCAAACAAACTGTTTTGAGTCAGTAACTACAGAAAAGTGTAACTTATTACGAATGTTATGCAAGATTAGTCATCCTACCAACGCACAGAAATACCAAGTGTCAAAATTAACAAGGCTGAGACAGAGAACGACAGAATACAAAGAGAGCATCTAGCACCCTGACAACATGCACTAGTATTGCCACCATGCCAAGTCAAAGCACCACACTCGTCTCTTCATGCAAGGGGCTGGTAGCCTTATTACCTCAATGCATGGCAGACTGCTACTCTCCGATGTGGATGTGGAATCCTCATCCTCGGAGTCTGGTACCAATGAGTCCTCACTGTCTGATGACTGGCTCTTTTCATCCACTGACATGCTTGCTTCGCTCAATGAAGAACTTTCCACTGTTAGTAATCAAATGACCCCCCAAAAAAGAAAACTTAACAATGTGTCTGTATTTGAAATGTTTGTCCTCCAAATAAATGAGTACTTTGGTTTGCTTTTCCCTGTCTTTTGCAGTTTGGCAGTTCCATCCAAATGGTCTCTGAGGTTTTTTCTTAAGGATTAAATATTTTTTAACCAGTCTTTAAGTAAACGGTAGCACACATAATATGTGTATATTATACGTATCTAAGCTAATGGAATACAGAAAGCAAAGAGTGTGTCAAAAATATGATGGCTTCTGGAAATTCAGAGTTTGAACGATTTACATACATCCCCAAATCTACCACTCCCTAACAAAAGTCTGTATATTCATATTTGTTTAATTGAGGTTGGAACTTTGAGTTTTAAAAGGAGTACCATTAAAGGTCAACAGGCATCACTGTTTATTGATAAATATTAAAGGTATTTACATTATATTCTTGGAAAAAGTACTCAATTGTCACATAACAGCTATTACCGACACAGCCGTCAGTTTTGGTTCAGTTCTCAAGAACATCCACTAGATAAATGGAAGATCTTTAAAATGAAATGCAAAAATGGTGAACATGAAGGGTACGGTACTAGCATTTCTTTGACAATCATAACAGCGCCATACTTTCCTCACCTTCAAACTCTATGACAAGGGTTCAAATCCCTATCAAGGCCAACATAAGGATTAGGCTTTCAGTCCCCTGCCTAATTAATTCCTTTTCATCTTCTGTTTTGTTGATTTTGTTTCAGGTCTTTTTGTTAGATTAGGCAGAGAGCTGTACATAATTTCAATTAAAAACAAAACCAGGGTTGTTACAGGTATTACAAAACCGTCATCAAATACCACTGTGCTGACTCACAGTATCTTCGGACTTTGCTGTCTTGACTCAATCTTTTCAGCTTAACAATGGCCATCTTTGGACATGGAATCTTTGGGGATTGATCTCCTGCTCGAGGGCAAGAGCTTGTTGACAGATCACCTGTCCCGGTTTCAGGTTCCTGTGAAGACATTTTACATCCAGATTAAGTTTAGATTTGGACAGCATACATGCTAAACGAAAACATGCTGGTCCAAGCCAAGAAGTAAGGTCAGAGTTGAAGAGACTTTGGAGAAATCTGAAACTCATAATTTGGTTAACTCCAAGAGATACTGGACAAAAACCCAGATATCTAAACTTCAGTTGAAATGGTAATAAGTTCCAACATTTGTCAAACCAACTATTCCATCACACTTACCATGCACTCACTGTCCCCACTGTCACTATGTGACCCCTCTTCTGTCTCCAACGCTTCTTCCTCATCCCTGACCTCAACTCTGACCTCTGCTGTCTCTGACTGATCACCGCTGCCGCAGTCCGGGCTCAGGGTATTGTCATTGCTACTGCTGACAGTGTTATCCTGCTCAGCATGCTGCGATGCTGCAGCACCACCCACAGCCTCGGTGGATGCCAGAGTGTCCATGGTCCCAGACAGCTCACTGTTGCTACAAATACACCATGTTAATACTCAGTGAAACTGGAAGTGGGGAATTACCTGCAAATGGGAAGGTCTGACACACCGGGGGGTAGGGAAGAGGGAATACGGAAAGGAACAGGCCTCCTCATGTACATTAACAGTGGCAGGCTCTATCTTCCTCAATTCTTCAAATCCTGCCAAACCTCAAGATGGATTTGAAAGGATGTGGGAAGGCTAAGGTGCATGCACTGTGTACTGACTTTACAAGAGACAAGAAGGTGGCACTGACAAACAAAATTGATATTGGATGTGGCTGGTTCACTAACATTTAAAACAACAGGAAGTTAGGGTTAACACTGAGATTTTTTCCTTTCAAAAATATTAAAAACTCACTTGGTGCTTGTTGTTCCATTGTCTCTGTAATGTGTTCCATTTTTCAGTACTGTGATTGGAAACACATCAATTTCAGAAATTATGGTGTCTTGAAATGGATGGGACAAAGTCAGGTCTAGTATATCATCCTGTATGAAGGTTGTCATTGGTGAGCAGGATCGCCGGCGTTTGAGGGTGTGGTTGAACCCCTGCAACCCAGCAAACAATGACACGCTGGTGCTGGACTTTTCACTGGAGCTCTGTGAGCCATCACTGCTTCGGCTGGCCTGCGATTCGCTGACTTCTTGGCTGCTAGGCGCACATATTCCATTTCTGTTTACCTGAGCTTTGTATTTTTTGATGGAATCAGCGATTGCGTGATTGCTGGGTGATTGACCCTGGGTGAGGCCGATGCAAGACCAGCTGTCGGCAGCCATGTACTGGACCCGTTTCAGCCGAGACCGGCTTGGAAGCCCATTCTTACTTAGGTAAATTCGGCTTTTGCTGACCGGCAGTGAGACAGAAGAGCTCAGGGGCTTAGATAACTGCTTCTGGAATGGCCTGACAGCTGGACGGCTTTGCTGAGGAGATGCTTCAACAGAAAAAGAAAGCGGATTACTCAAGACAATTGAGTCTGTTGATCGCATGCAATTCGGTTCCAAGACATCTGATCCGGGATCCGTTTTCAGCATTATGGGTGTCTTTGCAAGGACCTCGATTATTTCAGTCGTAACCGGAGTTGCAAGACCCAACCTCGCCTGTTGTTGGTCCACAACTTCAAGCCTTGGAGGGTGAGCTGGTTCTAAGACAGCAGCGTCTAAATATGTTCCTGATGGTTCGTCTCTCCTAATTTCACTGCAAACTTGGTACGTGGCATCCCAAATAGGGTCTGATGACTGGAAGAGGGAAGATGAACGGTGGACTCCAAGAAGATGCGCGGAGGGCTTAGCAGTCTCATTCTTATGAGGCTCTGTGGTAAATTGGACTGGTTCATTGCTGGAACTACCGTTGGAAGGATCCGCGAGTGCAGCATTGGCCCTTGGGTTTTGGGGAATGGAGGAAGGTTTTGGAGAATCCAACAGTCCAGTCTGGCTGTCTGATGTTTCACTGGATAGCACAGGAAGGTCAAATATATCTGTAGCACTCACTAACTCATCATCATCATCATCATCTTCCATGCCTACAATATGAGCAGTTTATTTAATTCCCAATCAGAATTTGTTACATTGGAAATGATTAATCATCTACAGCCACTCAAAAGTGTCAAACTAAACTTCAAAACTTAGACGTCAAGTCCATCATGAGTCATAATGGAAAATATCCAAGAAATGGTCAGTGTTGTACAAAATAGCAAACCCCTTCACACACTGCAAAAAAGCATGCCGGGTCTGTCAGCTCAGCTGCCCTGGCCGGGCATACGATCGTGCACTGGTAGACTGCAACACGTGAATATGAAGTCAGAAACTTACAGTATTTGAAACAGGAACTATAGGGTATTTTTTCAGGGCACCACTGCCAGGAAGAATGGGGCACCTGGCAATCATTGGCAATGGACAAAGTGGAAATTTTCAGCGCACCACGGCCAATTGTAAGGGCACCGACTGCCATGGCTGCGGTGAAATTTGAGAGCTGTGTTTAAATGCCAAGAACACTTTTTATGCGAACAATCTTCAATCCTCAAAAAATTTCCTCTAATGGTAGGAAACCAAAGGTATCCAACTTCCTCAATCTCATAATAACCAACCTTCAGGTGGATTTTGAAGGATACGGGAGGTCAAGGTTAGTTTAAGGGTACAGTCACATTTAAGAACTTTCTAACTGGTAGATTTTTACTGAACAAGGCAACCAGGAAAGATCTGGAATTCTTGTTTCCTTGAATAGAGGCTGCTTTGCCCAATCTAACTACAGTGTAGTCATGAGTCTATAGATGATTAACAATCAGAACAACATCATCAGACATATAATTATGAAATTCTCAGGAGCTATTCTTTAAATTCTTCACCCACTGCCTAGAACGTGACTTTTTATCAAAGGTTATCTTACTGTCTTCTGTCTCCGTCTTGTTCTCACTCTCTGCCGTTCCTTCCTCTTCCCAGGATTCCCTGAGGATGGCCAACAGCTCTGCTTCAGACGGAGGTCCTCGGAAGCTCACCGACAGCAGCTTTTCCATGCAGTTGGACCGGGAATCGGCAACATCCCGGGAGATCTGAGAGTGAGGACCTTCAGAGACAATCTAAGAACCCAAAGACGACAGAGAGGACATGGATCATTGAACTACTCAATGCGATCAATAATTTCCACTCAACATGTAACAAATGTTTTTTTAATTGCCACTTGGGGCTGCAAGTATTAATTGATCACATGATTAATTGATTAATAAGTAAATTATTTGGTTATATTTTTGCAGTCTAGTTTTGAAAGCCCTATATATGTAACAAATAGGCTTCTTTTCCCGAAAGCACAGGAACAGCCAAATCCTTCCCATGCCAAGTCTCAAACATGGACCACATTTAAAAGTCTGTCCAAAATGAAAAGAGTGGGGGTTGAAAACAAAAAGGGTCTATTTGGTTGAAAGGAACTTATTACATGTAGATACTGTGAAAACTATCAGGCCAGTATATAACTGAATTATTAGCCCACGAAAAACAAAAAGTTTGCTGTTTGGTTAATCAAAATTGTAACTACCTGCTCTATCACAGGAACGCTCAGTCTCTGGTTGAGTTTATCAACATAAAATCGCAGCAACTGCTGAATAGCTGTCATAGACATTGAGCTGAGCTCTACGTCCATCTCACTGCAAAAGTATGCTTCTCTCTCTGATGCACTCAGCATCAACCTCATAATCAGGTGACGATGGCGCAGCTGGTAAGTGTTCATTTGGTACTCCTGTTTACTCTTCAGACAAATAATGAAAAATCTTCAAACAACAGCTGGTTCCCATTAATAAAAATTCTGCTTTTGTTTTCCATTAATACGTGGATGATTTAAAAGAAAGTCTGTAAAGGGCAAAGAAGTCCCAATATTATACCATTTTAAAGGAAAAAAATTTAACTTGCCAACCCGCTTCTTTTTGGAGGCTGCCTGAATTACTCAAATTTGTTACCCCGGGAAAGTTGAGGTGAAACAAAGCAATATGTCAATAAATCCATCGTAAAAATGCTAAGTTGGAACTTCTATCTTTAGAATCTGTCAGTCACTTTTCCACATCAGGCACTTGACCTTGTTATCTCTCAAACGCGTCTTCTTATGTCTACATCCACCTACCAGACTACAGTTTGTAAAACTGCCCAAGCATCTATGGAAACCGCTGGGTTTTTGAGTTCTTGTGAAACCATTGTAAATGTGTCCAGTTTTCTTGTCCAACACGTCTCTTTCATTTTGTGTCTTTGAACATTAGAAACACTGCTGATTTTGGAAATTTTAACCACTTCACTCGGGGGGCATTTATGAATGTTGATGATGCTGGGACAGGATGATTTTCGTTTTCTTCTGTTTTCAAAACTCTTTAAAAATTCATATCTTTATTTACTGGACACACCCACACAAAGGACTGTCTGGTTGTTACTCTTATCTGACAGACAACATCTATTGATGCTGGAGTATTTCAGCCAGGACTGCTGCCTTGTAAAAAGAGCCCAGACTGTGCGGTGTTATGTAATTTTCTTTTGTTCACAAACCTGGCACAGTGTGCTGCTGACCTCTTTTCAATTGGGGCCAGATTAACGTGCAGCAGTACTGTGTAGCTCATCGCTGCGGTGGTGGAGTGCTTTTGTCCCCTATGGTAATCCGCTCACGCTAAATCCCCAAAAACCGTGGTATACTGTTTCAAAACAAGGCTGGATTATGTCCGCTACTGAAAGTAAAAAAATGTTGGTAATGCCCAGCAGCCTGGTCTTTTGTTACGAGTACAGTCTTTTGTTACAACGCCCAGTTCCCTTAGTCTGATTTCAGAGACCCCGGCCACGCGTATAAAGAATACGGTTCCGGCAACCCCGGCAGCAAGACGTTAAAGAACGATGGCTGCTACCTTGAAAACAAATGGCTTAATCTTTTCTCTTTTTTGAAAAACCTGGATGCTAACCCTTTATTTGGCTTAATACTGTGGGAACTAAAGTTTACAACTATGAATTCTGCCTAACATGGCAGGTAATGGAATCCAGTCCAGTTATGAAACAACCAGTGTTGTATTTGAGTCCGTCACAAGTCCCCGTAAGTCTGTCACAAGTCCATCACAAGTCATTCCGTCTTGAGCCAATTCACAAGCTATTCAAATGAGATGTGACAAAAGCATTCTTTTGTGATTGTTCACCCTGTTACTTAAGACTGGCCTTGTGAAGGGACTTGTGACTGGACTTGTGATGGACTCAAATACAACACTGGAAACAACCTTGTGAAGTTCTAAGATCAGACAAGACTTCAGCACAGGAAGGGAAATTTCCTTCTGTTCCTTACCACTCCAGATGTCTTCAGTTCAGCTTTGGGAAAGTACTTGTTGAGAAGGGCACAAACATCGGCATAGTCAAACTTCTTCTGGGACAGTTTGTTCAGCAGCACCTGGGTTATGAATGAAATCAGCAAATCAAGGCGTTAAAAAACATAAAGGTACTTTTTTTAACATTAAACTAAATCAACATAGGTCAGATGACAAAAAAATAAATTACCAGGTGCAACCAGCCATGTAGATAGATATTGTTCAATGCATACTATCTTGATTGTTTTTTTTAATTCATTTAAAATACAGCATCAAGGGGAAAGTTGTGTGATTTTTCCCAAACGTTCAAATTCCTGTGTAAAAGAAAAGAAATAATTGAAATTTTCTCATTTTTTTTTCCAAAGTGGTATCATCCAGAATCTGTGAATCTTTAATCCATTAAATTAAAAATGCTGCCCACAAAACTGATGATGACTAGAACCATACATCAACGATATAAGTGAAGTCTGAGTGGTAGCCATGACAAGAAGAAAAAAATGCAGCATAAGTCTACAAGCTTCGTCTTCAGGCTGCCTCGAAAATACGAAACCACTTTCACAGTCCACGAGTGAATGCAATCACAGTTACCTTGGTCTTAAGACCAGTGGTCAGTTTGATGTACTGCTTGACAGTCACAAGATCAGGGACGGCCTCATTGATCATGTCCAGGAGATGCAAGGCGGTGTCGAAGTCCACTATGTCTTCACGCTGGACAATGGAAAAGACGGTCCCCGCAACAAGGCGATGGTGAGGGACGCTGAGCACCTGGAAGGCTGATTGCCCTCGATGGTCAACTATGGCTACAAATCAAGCACACAAAATGACCAGCCATAAATCAGCTATCAACAATAAATATTTTAATAGTGTCAAATGTCAAGTTTGTCAGGACAAGCATTCCTTCCAGGGCTAAGTCCTCTGATTTCAACATAATTTTTAATACATTGTACGCCCTAAAGAAATGGGGTTCTGCACTATAAATGAAACCATGGGTTTCTCAAAAGTGTCCCAGGCACTGTAGCTCATAGCCCTGAAGAAACCTATAGAAAGAAGATAATGCAAAGCAAATAGGTTAAGAGGTCAGGGGAAACTCCAGAAAATTCTGGGTAAAACGTGCAGAGTCCAGAAGGAACTGAAAACCCAATCCACATGTTGAACGAGTTGGGAATCGAACCCGAGCTGCACAGATGAAAGATTACTAGCACTACACAAACCATTCCATCAAGTTTAAGCAATGCCAAAAAGGGCTTGACTAAGTTGCCTTTAAAAGTTCAAACCGACCCTCAAAAAACAACGAGCTACATACGCAATCACACGTATGAAGCCAAACCACGGTTCACAACCATGCACAATGTATGACATCTACATGTAGATTCTCAACCAACCATAAAAACTTCACGTGTGAAATTAGGCTCCTATAACATTCAGGCTTTATTTTCCTTTAAAAAAACCCTCCCTGCCCACAATTTCGACCCGGGATTCGAACCCACACCCCATGCATCACAAAACATTATGCTGTAACCGCTTGACTACCGCAATTCACACAGGTTGACGGTGTTTTTACTGTTGATATACCGATGAACTGCTGCAACGTGGGTCTAATACCCATTGGGCATGCGCAATACACACACAACCACTGTGGTTTGGCTTCATACGTATGATTGCATATATATCTCAAAACAACCTTCGACTAGACCATACCTGAGATGACATCATCCATGTAGTTCTTGCAAGCATAGTCTAGGATCAACTCCTCTACAGCTTTGCGATCTCTCTCCAAACTCCCCTTGCTACCTCTGTATCCAGCCATCTGGTCACAGTAAAAAGGAAGCAAATCCACGAGTCTTTGTCTCAATTGGGGTTACGAATTGAGTTCTCCATCCGGCTTCCAAGACCACTTTTTTGAATTTCCTAAATATCAACAAGTTTACCAATACCGATGTAGACCATACATGAGCGAGAAAAAATTGGAAAGAAACCTTTGTCTGTTTGTGACAAGAGATGGGATGAATACATACATACAGACACCGCTTGACACCCTCCCCCTTGAGGTAATTCCTCATTATCTTTACAGCAAAATTTGACTTTTTAGGACTTTTTATCCTACTTTCAGCAATTTTCAGATGGCAAACACTAGTAACAGAACAATGTAGGAAATATCAGTGGTGTCCATATGGATACTTTCCCAAGGGAAATTAGAAATGTTTGGCCACACAGGACTTACTGTATACAGGCCTTTGTTAAGGTTTGTAAAATGTTAGCATGGTTAGTGCTCTGGATGCTGGAATTACTACTACTAGGCCTACTGTAGGTCTAGTAACACTGTATTTTTAAAGTAGGCATATTATTCGCATAACGCCAGACCTGGAGGAGAACTCCTCCAAACATGGGTGGGACAAAAAAACTAGTATTTATTAGGTTAGATCAGCATGACTGGAACTAAACAAATTGAGCATATGACATGTATAATGTTTTGGGGAACTGCCTGGAGACCATATGATATATAGGCCTATAGGCCTAGGCCCCCTACACCTAGGGCTAACGTTAACAAATAACAGATGAACTGCATTTAATATTTAACTACCCCGTCACATATGTCGCATATATTGTTGATACATGTAATTTAAATAATATATCTTTTATCGGTGTTTCATGTGAATCTTCTCCTTTGGCTATATTCCCTGAATTTTTAAATGTACACATATACATTTATTGTCCTGTATTTCAATTTTTAGTTTTTGTACCTTTCCTGTAAGTGGCAATTTTCTTGTTGTCGGAAACGGATAATAAATAAAAATAAATAAATAAATGAATCACAAATTAAATGATCAGATATGACTGCCTCAGCTCAGCCCAACAGGCATGGCAGGAGACTGACTTACATTGTACATGTTTAAGGTACGGAAAGAAGGCCAAGGGGGCCTACCAAGACCGGCAAACGTTTCCTTGTCCACTTCAAAATCGATGCCTACGAGACAAAGACGAAAGCCCGACCTTTAAACAATGCGCATCAGGTTTCTGTGAAAACTTCACGAATCGCATTCATGTCCTGCGTTGTTCACTGTACAAATTTGAGACCTGTACTATTTTGTAAACATATGAGAAAAAAATGATATGGCATCTGCCATGCAGTGCCCGTGATACTACTTGAAATGCCATACACTCGATGCGATGCGGTCAAAGAGCCAGACTTTGGGGTTCCGCGCTAAAAATAAACGCGCGCCCAGCTGCGGGGGGGGGGGGCTTTCTTTGTTACGGTGGCCGCGGGGGGGGGGGCGGAGCGTGCACGGAAGGGACCAGAAAATGCTGTGGGGTTATTTCTGAACTTCAAAGAAATTTGAAAATTGCTGTGCAAAAGATAGTTTCTTGTCTGTGACAAATGTTACAGGTCGTGGTGTTAAGTATAACACGATTTTGTTTGAAAGTTAAACCTGAATCTTACCAGTGCAAAAATGACTAGGTATCACATTTCATTTCTTGCAGCCACAATGGGAAGGATATTATGAAATAAAGTGTCAGACGTAATAATTTACAGTATGCATGAGAGCATTTAATGTTACAACCCCCCCCAAAAAAAATATATATATATATATTTTATAATGTCCAGAAAAATTTTCAGGTGATGGAAGGCCTACTGGTTGGATATATGGTCAATACAAAACTTGGCCTCTGGAATTTACTTGGCTTCCTTTATACCATTAGCTGGTCAATAAAGTCATGTAATATTTCATTAAATCTTTGAGTCGGTGGCAAGTTAGGTAAATGTTTCCTGACGGTAAGGTGCTACAGTGGTGAAGGCACTTTTTTCCTGTCGGCCACCTCAATGCACATTTAGACGATATTTCCTGTCACCGTCAGTTGGCTCAGTAGAGAGTTAGGCAAATAGTTCTTGACATATGGCACAATACCGGTAGTTAGGAAAACGTTTCCTGACTGTAGGGTGACTGAATGAGAAGGCCCACTCTGCCTTCCCTGCTTCCTAGCCCACTGGGAAAAAAGGCAAATGCTTCAAGACATCTGTTGCACCAGGTCACTAGGAAATTATTTCAATATTAATGTTGTCATCTTAAAACTTGCCAACTTTTCCACAGATATGCATCTCGCACAAGTATTTCACAGACAATGAAAATCAATAACCCATAAATTATTCTACTTGAAAGAAAGAAAGAACTGTGATTGTATCACCCATCTTGGTTTATTATATCCAGCATAACATAGATATTGATGAATATTAATATAACAGAGAACTATCTTAGTTTGGCAAATCAGTACTAGCATGAAGAAAACATTCTCTGACAAAAAGTACTATATTATTATATAAATTTCATAGGTTTTAACTTTGATCAAAAGTGCAGAGATGGATAAAACATTAGTGAAAATCAGTGTGTGTGATGTTAACAGACTAGAAGGTGGCACTAGGGTGATGTTACAATTAAGGCAGAGAGAGAATTTTCCTCCATCAGACACTTCTACAAAAAGTTAACTTTTTAGAGCTTCCCCAAAAGATTTCGGGTAATTCAGTAAAAGCATGCAAGTCTTATCCCCATAAATCCCCATCCCTCATCCCCCCACCAATTTCTGGTACATGTACAAATTTACACCAGTGAGTGAAAGTCTTACATTTGACATTTTTTACCCGTAAATCTCCCTGACAAACTCTAACATTTGTTCATTTATCGAACACGTTGTGGCTGCATCCTTCATGATGCAGCCTTTGTGGCTTTGTCAATGAATTGAAAGATCACATCCCAAATAGGTTCCAACAACATATTGAAATCTTTGCTCAGGATTAAACTCTCAGAAGCAGTATATTCTACACTTAACTGCAAATTTGGCTGTGCACAATTGTACTTCAAATTGTACTTCAACATGTACTTCAAAGCATAGAGTAGACATGATTTCAGCAGGTACAAAATGATTTCAAGATAAAAAAATACATTATTCTGAGACAAGTTCCCATCCTGCAAAATTTGAATACAGATTCACATTGTAAAGACTTTGCCAGGATTCATCAGGTTATCCGGGTCCAACGCCCTCTTGATCCGACGCATGGTAGCCACGCCTTCTTCTCCCACCTCCTGCAGGAGAAGCTCCCGTTTCCCGATGCCTATGCCGTGCTCCCCTGTGCATGTACCACCCAACTCCAAAGCCCGTCTGCAGCAGAATAAACCAAAAATTTCCATGGTGATCCAAGAGGAATTATCCAACGGGTAAAATCAGCCCTGAGCTTAAGTGCACCCTCAATGGCGAAAGAAAGACAAACTGGTATGAAGCATACTCAGCGTACTGCACTCCTCATTCAACGTGCATAAAATCCAGGCCTCTGTGGGGAGTTCATAGCAAAGGACTGTCAATTTCATTTAAAAACACACCCTCTTTTGTTCCCACTCAGAGCGGATAGGCAGTGTGCCTAAAGCCAAAGTAAAATACAAGGGCATATGAAAACAAATCCCAGTTTGCCATATGCACACAGTTTTATAAAGCTCTGGTCTCTCCTTTGACTGTTCAATTTTGGGAAAGCTAGCACAGTACAACTTATAGCCTCAACATGAAATCCGAAGCTCCAGACGTTATCAGCTTAATGAATTGGTTGCAGTGCCTTGGCAGAGTAGGGCCACGGTAACCAGGTGAACACGGTAAAGTTAATCCGGTCCTGGTTGTGATGACATGTAATATGTGGACTAACGCAATCCTGCAGATGTATCAAAATGCTAGAAACTCCTCTTCTGTTGTATAATTAGCTGCTCAGAGTGTCTGATCTAAGTTAGACCACCAGGTCAGCGCTGCGTCTGTGACTTTATGGATTGCCTTGAGGCCCAGAGGGGAACATCTGAAGAGGGTGGTCTTGAACAATGTGTTGAACAGTCTGATCATGGTATCTACAGTCACATGCAGGGTTGGTAGAAACTGGGTTATACTTTAAGCCATTTTACTGAAAGCCTGATGCTATGTATAAGGCAGGCATCAATGGGACCCTGGCCCTCCCTACTTGTAAGAGAGAAGTCTTCCTTTCCTGATGTCCAATTCACCAAGCTGTCAATATGTAGAAATCCAATATTTAGGTGCTCAGGAAGACCAGCTCAGAAGGGCTTATCTCCTGACTTCAAAGAGTGTGAGGTAGCATTTTAACACCTTTTTGCTAAGCACTTTTGTTACATAGCAATGACATACATGGCCTTTGGTGGGAATTCCCCGCATTCTCACACAGGTTCATGCACACTCGTAGCAAGTCACATTGGGCATGCGCATCTTATTGTAAAGCATAGTCTTTCGTGTGTGTGCTGGACGTGCATGTGAGCCCAGTTGAAAATCTCCCACCAACCTGTCTCTTCTTTGCCGATGGGGGGTACTTCTAGTCAGAGTGGAAAGCAGTGTTGTAGTTAAGACCACACACAAGACCACGCACAAGACCAGACACAAGACCATGCACAAGACCAC